AGCAGGGGCTCTTCTGTGCGTAGCTGAGGCTGTCCCTCTTTACCCAGAGATACCCCCTACTTTCTTTTCTCTTGACCTACAGTATTCTGAGTGCCTCCACCATCCAGTGAAACATCTCAGAGAACATGCTCCATGGCTGCAATTGGCCCAAGTTTCTACTCTTTGTTAACTCAAACTCTGTCCATCACCTAGATGCTGTCAGTCATTGCTTCTGAGTTTGTTGTTGGTGTTGTTTTGAGGCAGGGTCTTGCTGTGATACCCGGACTGATGTCTAACTCTTGGGCTCAAGATATATTCCTTCTTCAGCCTTCTGAGTATTCAAGACTAAAGGTGTGCACTGCTGCACTTGTTCCTTTGATGACTTCTCACTCCCCCTTTGTGGTCTCTTGTGGATTCCTTCTCCACTCCTGCCCTCAATCTTCATATGGTTGTTCGGGATCCTCTCTCTTGACATTCGTCTTCCTCTGTAGCGTTTCTGCCTGTTCATTTCAGTGGCCGCCATGGATGTAGCTCCCATTCCGTCTCCATGCTGCTGGATGAGGTCTCCCCGGTGATCTCACTGCCCCTGTCTCTCTCCTTTGGGATGTCTCAGGCATTTCAGTGTCAACACGGCCGATTTTCTTCCTGTAGTCCCCATGTCAGTTAGTGGCTCCTCACTCACTCCACAGAGCACTGTGTCACGAGTGGTCCAGCCTTCATCCTCCACTCCCAGGAACTGCAGCTCAATTCTTTTGCTCCTTGGGTATTTCTCAGTCTCCTCTCACACCAGGCCATAGCCCTTCCTCGGGGCAGTTGTCTTTTGTGTCCACAATGCTTCTCTTGTTCTTCTGTTGTTAAAGCTCTTTCCCCATCAAGACTTGAGACTTCATTTGCTGGGTGTTTCTGTAGGATAAAGACTCCTTTCTGGCCTTAATTCTGTCTTTATACTTCCCTGTCTACAGCAGTGCCTAAAACTTACTGTTGTTGAAAAGGATGGAACTTTCTAGAATAAACAGAATGAATATAATGCATTGGCAATTTGGTGGCGGTCCTTGGGGAAAATCTACAGGTACTTCTCCAACATGCCTTGTTTGCACAGATGTTTGAGAATACTGATTAACACGTATTCCCTCCATCTCTGGGCCCCTTCTCTCCCTTTATTCTCACTCTTACCTGCTGCTTAGTCTCCCACACTCAGCCCTCTGGCCTTCCAGAGGTGGATTTAGACGCCTCCCATCCAATTAGATACCTCAGTATGGCTTCCAGGGTTAACCGCAAGCTCATACAAGACAACAACAACAAAATCATCTACCCCATGTTCATGGCGCAAAACCTAGTTCTTACTTCCTGCTTACCATAATGAAGTGATGGATATGGAAAGAACCAGATGTTGTGATACGCTGCTGTTGAGCTCTCTGTAGACTAGATCTCTTCCCACTCACCTGAATACACAGTTTAAGTTTCTTGAGTCCAAGCTGAGAGCCATTCTTGTATTTCAGGTGAGTTCAGTTCTGGCTTCTGCAGTTAACAGTTGTTAATCAGACTAGCTGCCCAATTACTGCGTCTCAGTCAAAGCCTTCTCGTTTATGAGTGCAAATATGCCATTGATGTTTATAAGAGGAATTAGTTTCTGCCCTCAGTGCAAACTCGCCACAGAAACTGAAGTTTAAATACTGGGTTTTGACGTTCTGCCCTTGAGTGAAATGAGACTGTATTATAAAATCACTAGTGAGGAGAGCAGCCAAGGTCTAGGTAAGGGGCTGAGAAACGTCACCGGAAGCCCTGAGTACTAAAACCAGCAGATGCAGTGTTGCCATGACATTGAGGAAAGTTACGTTGTCTGGTGATGTCACAAAAATGAGTGAAAAGAGGATCTTAATAGTCAGAACAATTAGACGTGTTTCAAAGTTGTTATTAAAGGCAAAAAGATACTAACAAATTTAAAGAAGCATTGGAGAAAAATAGTGCTTTCTCACTAGAACACTAAAGCAAGCATTGGAAATAGAGATATCTCTGTCTAGAACACGTGTATTTTTTCCAGGTGTTACCTCTCTGTCTCTCTGAGCCAGCCTCCCTTGCCATCTGGCAAGAGATGGCTTCCTCTTACCACTCAAGGTTCTGTGTCCTCTTTCAGTTCAACTAAAGAATCCATACTAAATTAGGATATCTCAGTTCCAATTTCAGCCTCTCAGAAGGGAAGTCGGTTAGTGTGACATAGGTCAGGAATCCACTGTGGTCCCGGCAACTGTGGCCAAGGAGACAGGGCCCATTTGATGGCAGTGTGATACCATAGCATCCACCCAGACACAAAACGGGCAATTCTCAGACAGGGTGGGCTCTTACTTGCTAGATCAAGCAGCCCTCCACCACGGAACTCCAAGGAAGCATCAAGTGGAAAGTATATTGTCACAGCCCTCAGCGGGTACAGGGCTGGCACAGCCTGATGGCCTGCGTCTTCCAGCCGGTGGTCACCTTAAGACCAGGTCATATCTCACTCTGCAGTACCTAGAGAAGTGCCCAGCCACGGGCAATCGTCTTTGTCCTCTTATTCAATAAGCAGGTGAAAATATTAGCTCCGCCTTCATGCAAATTACAGTCTGGTGATATAAATAGGCAGTAAATGTTTGAATACATGCAAAAGCAGAATTGTGGTGTACAAAGAAAGTTGAAATGGGGGGGGAGCGGGAGGAAGACAAAACCAGAACAAAACCTTTCTACAGGTGTTGAAACCCAAGGGGCTGGCAATGGTAACCATGACTCTCTGTCTATGTAGTATCTGTTCATAGCATTCACTGGTTCATTTAAAGTGTTAGCTACTAAACAATTATTATAAGATCAAGTAAAATATAGATACATGCCCCAAATGTTGGTTGGTAACTTTTAATATTTTAATATTATTCTTATTTTCCGGTTTTAAATAATATACTCCCAGCCCACAGTTTGTTGTAATTACAAAACAATTCTGCCAGTATCAAGTGGTTAAGCATATAGTAGGAGATAATAACTCGGTCAACTCTATAAGGAGGTTTGAATTAGAATTTCACAAATAACACAGAGTGAAAGACATATAGACATATTCTCTTTAGGACGTTCAGGCAGGTTCTAAAATATGTCAGGATATATTTTGTCTATATGGTGGGTTGTCTCCAGTGATCTTGGTAATGGTAAAATGGACCAGGGATTCTAAGAAATGTGGGGTTTCTGGAGCCATGCTGGTACATTTGTTGCCAATACCAACCAAGAAAACTACTATAGAAGCAAACCAGGTCTAACTAATTGACAGAGCTTTCACCTAGCTTTATTAATTAGAGCAACTCCTCTTGGTGCTTGCTTGCAGCTTCTCTGCAAGCAACTCTGTACCTCAGTGGCTTATTACTATAGATTTTTCCCTCTCAAGTTTGGTGTAGATGAGGGAGGGGCCATGTCCATTCCATGAGGTTTTTCGGGGCCTCTATCTTTCCTTCTGAATCTCCTCCATTCAAGCTGGTCCAGGGGGCAAGGGTGAGCTTGAACCAGATGTGTACCACACACCAACCAAGGTTTTCCTGTGGGTGACCTTCAGGGGGCACTGAGATGCAAACAAGATTGGGGGAGTAGTGTAATCCCTTGTTTGTTTTGCTCTTTTAAGGGGCCTGCTGTGTTTCTGGTACATTTTCTTCTCAGTGGCAATAGCTATGCTCAGTTCCATTTGAAGTTGTGCAAATTTTAATTCTACTTCTATATCAGAGTATACCACTGAGCACTTAACTGTATTCTATATGCCATCCTAAGTTTGTGTGCAGCTCGCACAAACCCCAGAGTACTGCTCTCTTATTATAAGTGAGGAAACTGAAGGATGGAGCTATCAGACAACCTGCCCAAGGTTGAGCAGCTGTTGGACTTCACAGTTAGATTCAGTGCCAGGCAGACAAGCATCAAGCCATAGTATAGGAATTAAACCAAACAGACAAACATCACAAAGGGCCACAGGGGCATTCCGTGACCTTAAATGCTAGGGCAATGGAATGCTACTACACCTTGAGCTCTCTAGGATCTAGTCCATTAACCCACATCCTAAATACCCCCCACCCAGGATGTTTGCATGGGGAGATTCAGACTGGGCAGTTTAAGAGCATGAACCCTTTGTAAGCAAAACTACCTGCATTTGAAGTAAGTCCACTATTGCGCGTTCAAGGCCTCAGGCTGCCTCTTACTAGCTCTCCCCCACCCCGTAAACAGCACAGCATTACTGATTTGAGTCGGTTAAATTTGGAGTTTTGCTGCATTTAAGCTGGGCATTTAGCAGGCCACTAAAAGACCACCAGGCATCCGCCCTGTGGAAAGCTCCATATACACTCTTTAAAGTAACGTAGCGAGGAAAGCGTACTTCTCCAGTTTATGCCAGTGAGCAAGAGGGGCAGGGTTGTCTATCTTCAGCGTGATAAGGAGGCCATCCCTCAGGTCTGTAGCTGGTGGGCCAGACAGGAGACAATGATGCTGGGACCATGCAGTACATGTCATCTCTTATCTATGTCAATGAGTCTTTTGTGTCAGCTTTGTTGATAGAACCTCGTAGAATTCTCCTATTCAGAGTGTTCACTGAACTTAACATGTTCACATAGCCGTGCGGCCATCTTGACAACAATTGTAGCAGGAAACCCTCTATTTGTATCACTTCCCATTTTATTCCCAGCTCCAGCAGCTGCAAATGGACCTTCGGTCTCCGTAGACTCTGGGATATTGCATTCATTGTGTTCTTGTGGTCTGGTTCGTCTGCTTCTTTGGTTCAGCATGATGCTTTCCAGTTCCATCCGTGTTGAAGCATGTGTCTACACTCATCCCTCTCCTGCCTTTAACCCTGTGTGGACATGCCCCGTTTATTCACTCATGCATTGGCTTGGTTTTCTCTTGGCTTGTGGTGAATAACGCTGCTTGGACATGTGTGTGCAAGTGGGTGTGAGTTTTCGTTTTCCTTTCTTGCGGAGTTTATCTCGGTGTGTAAGTACTGGGTCACGTGGTAACTCTATGTTTATCCTTTTTAGGAACCGCCAGGCTGTTTCCCACAGCGACGGTGCCATTTTACAGTCCCACCGGCAGTGTCTGAGGGTCCCGATTGCTCCAAGTCCTCAGCCGGCACTCGCCACCACCTGTCCTCACTGTAACCATTGTAGTGGGTGTGAAGCAGTGTCTCGTTGTTTTGGCTTACATTTCCCTAAGGACTAAGATTGTGGCATTTGTGTTACTAACCCAGGGCAGACGTTTCAATCTTATACTTTCATATAGAAACCACCTCGTATTCCTGGACTGACTCTCTGAAACAAAACCGTAGCTCTAGACCAGGTACATGTTGTTCGTGTCTTATACTTGGGGGCAGGGGCGTAGAGTAAACCGACTTGAAGATTGCACACTCACCTGGGACATCCGTTTTACAGTGTGAATTCATTCACAGCTTTCTTTCTGTAAGCTCCCGAGTCCTACTCCGTGGCATTTGCTGGATAATCCAGACAGCACTTTGGGTGGATCCACGGCGTGGTGTCACTAGTAACACACTTGAAAATGCGGTGTGCGTCTCTGGGTTCATCAGCTGAGATTAAAGGTGCTTTGTAGCACAGTGAGACCTTTTCTTCCCCACTCTGTCTTAGTGTGGGCCATCACCTGAAACTCCCTAAGACAGGCTGGGCTCTCTCGACTGACTGTCGTCGCTCGGTGACGTCAGGGTCCGACTGCGGGGAGAGGAAAGACCCTTTTGCAGCAGCTCCTCCCTGTCCTTGGCCTCCACTCAGAGCTCTGCTGTCTGTCTCTGTCCGCTTCTCTGGTGTCTTCTACAGCGGTGGCACCACCTCTCTCCTCAGCCTTGGAGGCCCCCCCCCACCCCCGCCGCCCCGGCCGTCCCGTGCTGTGGAGGAAAGAGCACCGTGCGCAGCTTGGAAGTGTGCGAGCTCCACCAGCTCTAGATGTGTGCCGAGTGAGAAAAGGAGAGGAACCCTGAGCCAGATGCAGAAGATGCTCTCTCGAGGCAGAGCTCCCCAGGAAGGAGCGCTTCCCTGAAGAGGGCTCTCCTCTCCGGCAGAGAGCCACACCCCGAGCTAAGCCCCTGGACTCTTGACTTCATCTGGCATCAGGGTTAGGGCTAGGGTCAGGGTCAGGGTTAGGGTGTGCAGGGCTAGGGTTAGAGCTAGGGCTAGGGGCAGAGGTTAGGTTAGGGTTGGGGTTAGGGTTAGGGTGCGCAGGGTTAGAGCTAGGGTCAGGGTCAGGGTTAGGGTGTGCAGGGTTAGAGCTAGGGTCAGGGCTAGGGTTAGGGTTCGCAGGGTTAGAGCTAGGGTCAGGGCTAGGGTTAGGGTGTGCAAGGTTAGAGCTAGGGTCAGGGCTAGGGTTAGGGTGTGCAGAGGGTTAGGGTCATGGTTAGGGGTTAGGGTGTGCAGAGGGTTAGGGTCAGGTTCAAGGTTAGGGTGTGCAGAGGGTTAAGGTCAGGGTCCGGGGGTCAGGGTTAGGGTTAGGGTGTGCAGTGGGTTAGCGTTAGGATGTGTAGAAGGTCAGGGTCAGGGTTAGGGTTAGGGTGTACAGTGGGTTATGGTCAGGGTCAGGGTCAGGGTGTGCAGATGGCCTGCAGGGCCCTCAGGAGGGAAAGAGAAAGAAGAGTGGAGAGATGTCCCCTTCGCAGTGTCCCCTCTGCCCCATCTGCTCCCCTCCTAATATGGGCTTGTGGCCCGGCTGGGGAGCGGTGGGAGAGAATAAGTTTAGACACTTAAGGAGCTGGAGTGAGCCTTCGTGACTCTCCTTTGACACTCTTGCTAATTAATTAATTAACTAGACTACTGCTCTAGGTGAAGTAAGCACACCATGACCCAGTACCACTGGATAATCCTGAACTGTGTGCCTCCGGAACTGCCACAGAGGAACCAAATAATATTCACAGATGAGTTAGTAGGAATTGTGGGTTAGTTCTGATTCTTAAGCTGACCAGCCCTCAAGTACGAGAAAATTAAGTGATGCCAAGTACTCACTACACTTTCCTGTGTGCTAAGCATTATGTGACTAGCCAGGCATAGGCTTTTGTTTCTTTGCTGTGGCGCTCTGAGGTGACACGCTTGTCCTCCAGTTGAGATGTAATGAAGTCAGTGCTTGTCATGTCCAGTTTGCCCCATAGCTCCACCCCAGCTAGCTGTCTGTGGCCCAGACATCGTTAGTGAGCGGGATGGCTCCCACTCTCCCGTGCCCTGTGAGGCGGAGAAAGGCTTTAAACCCTGAACGAGAGGAAGCTAGCAACGGGTTTGGCCATGGTGGAGCTTATTCCTGTTTGGATTTTGAGCTCTGCTGTGGTGAGTTCTCCAGAACATTTGGGCTCCTTTCCCTCACATGTTTGCTCTTAGACAGGAGGGAATGATGGCCGAGGAGAAGCCAACTCATTTGTTCTGTAAGAGAATGATCAGATGTGCTTCTGTGGAACACACATGGATCTGAAACCTCGCTTGTTCTATTATGGAATGCAAATAAAAAGTTAATGTTACTTGTACGATTTTCTTATTTCACGTAGAAAATAGGAGTGTATTTAGAACCTGAAAGAGTGTTTTCTTCCTTGCTGCAAACATTGTTATCCAGTCACTTTACTGTGCTGTGAGGGGTCTAAAAGCCAGTGAACTCTCTCTCTCTCTCTCTCTCTCTCTCTCTCTCTCTCTCTCTCTCTCTCTCTCTCTCTCTCTCTCTCTCTCTCTCTCTCTCTCTCTCTCTCTCTCTCTCTCTCTCTCTCTCTCTCTCTCTCTCTCTGTCTCTCTCTGTCTCTCTCTCTCTCTTTCTCTCTCTCGTGTGCGTGCTGGCGGGCACACACACATGCGCACATACACACTCACAAATACACATACACACTCACAAATACACACATCACACACGTGTACACGTCACACACGCACACTCACACACCCACACACAAGCATACACATCACACATACACACTCACACACATACACACTCACACACATACACACTCACACACATACACACATACACACTCACACACACATACACACTCACACACATACGCACTCACACACATACACACACATACACACTCACACATACACACTCACACACAAGCATACACATCACACACATACACACTCACACACATACACACATACACACTCACACACACATACACACTCACACACATCACACACGTGTACAAGTCACGCGCACACACACTCTCTCACAACACTACACTCACACACATACACACTCACACATACACACTCACACACACATCACACACGCGCACTTTCAACCGCCCTTGCTTTGTTTCCACTTGTGTGCTTTCCCGCTAAGGTGAGAGAGTAGCTGTAGCCCATGCTGCATCCTGTGAACGATGCTTGTCCAGAAAGGAGCTCTTAGACCCAGCGCATGTCCCTGGAGCGCTCCTCAGCCTGTCTTCCCCACCACACACGCAGAAGCAATTCTTTAATCTGCTGTCCAAGTGACCCCCTTGGGAGACACTCCCCGAGACAGGCAGCTTACTCCATTTTCGGGTGGAAATTATTTTATGTTCATTGAATCTTGTTCTTCAACTGCTCCTTCTAGAACGACACACAGTGAAGACTAGGGTGGGATTCCTTAATTAGGAAACAGTTGTTGATTGCTCCCAATAAGTAAAGCAATTGTGCAATGTATCAGAATATGAATATGTGTGCTTTGTAACATTAACCCTTGATGTGGAAGAAGTAGCCTGGGCTTTGAAGTGAGGTAATTGCAAAAATAATGCTGACTGGCTGCCAGGCACTGTTGCAAGCATCTTTATAAGTTAGTTCCCTTGCCATTCTCCCAGCCCTCTGAGGGTGCACTGTTAATATGCCTATTTCACAGATGAGAAGATGAGGTGGGATTAAGAAAGCTGCTCTAAGTCTGAGCCCTTCGAGGTGGCAGCTGAAATCACGTATCCCAGCTGATCTGTCGCCTCTGAGGAACCAGTCCAGGCTTCCAATTCCGGTGCTACACTTCAATAGCCAGGTAGTGCTAGGAGCTAAACTGTCCTCACAGTACTTTGCTCGCCCATAAAAATGGGCAAGGCTCTTTGAAGAGTTAAAGGGAGGGCCTGGAGAGGTAGCCGGTGGTTCAGAGCAAACACTGCTCCTGAAGAGGACATGGGTTTGGTTCTCGCTGACATGCGGCCCACAACTGCCTGTAACCCCAGCTAGGGAGTCCAGGGCCGCTTCTCCCTTCCATGGCCTCCTGCACTCTGCGGTGCCGGCCCACACGCACAGATGCGCACAGGCCGATACTAAGTATGTTCTTTCTCCCAAATGAATTAAGTGGAGTACCATTGGGCATGACCAGTGGTGACTCTGTACCTGTTTCATTTGCGGGTTTCTTTTGGTTTTTGTTTTAGTTTAGGCCTCACCCAGAGAACCTGTGGTTCATTTCAGTACCCTGTGGTATGTGATCTCCTGTGACCAATTTGAGATCCCTGTCAGCACCTCTTAGAATAGGCAAGAGTGGCTTTTTAAGTGACTCTTCCTGATGACCAGACAGCTCAGGCCAGTGTTAGTCAGCCTGAACTAACACAGGGCAACAGTAGAGAACCCTCAGAACCTGTGACAGTTGCTCCTGAGAGATGGAAGATGCCACCCTCACCCAACCAACTGCTGGCAGAGCATATTTTATGAATAGTGGACATAACTGAAAGGAACGTGTTGTTTCCCTCTGCTGTGACCCAGTGAACTGTCTTGAAAGTAAACCCTAAAACAGTTACAGTGTCACCTACAGACATTTACATTTCTAGGTCGGCACCGTGGAGTCAGGATAGTTTAAACATTCTGGCAGACACGGGCCAGACATCACTAGGTCCCCTACCCAAAGGGGAGGAGGCACCCCAAGAAACCAGTTATCCCTGCAGTGGGGACTCACAAGATCCAGAATGCAGAGCTTTTGGTGTCCAGCAAGCAGTTACTTACGGAAATGGCACAGAACTTGAAAACTGTACCCTGACCGTGTGATTTTAGCTTTCTTTGCTGGAGCTGGCCTGCTTCAAGGTCCATTCCTTGTAGATCTCAGGGTAAACCAAAATCAAAGGGGACAGGGCAAACCAGGGACCTGAGAGGCCGTGCCGTTCCAGCAGGGTGACACTGTTGTGCTCTGCAGCCCTCACTGAGCAATTCTTAGAGGACATTGGAATGCACTTGAGCAAAGGACATGTCCCCACACTCGAAGTGCAGGGGAGGGGGAGGCGGTCAGGTCCAGCAAGGGGTGACGGTGGAGGAAGCCATGGCTAGACAAAGTCCCCGCATCTCCCCGGGAGGGAATAGCACTGAGCCCAGAGAACACGTTCCTGGGGAGCCGCGGAAAAACTTGTCACTCTCGTACAGTCTGTAAATATCTCCTTCCCAGTGTCACCTCAGCTCCACGTGTGTCTCATGTGACACACTGCCGTCAGGTCTTAACATTGCTGATGGTTTTCAGTGATTAGATGGGCTTGTATGATTTCAACGAAATAAGATACTCGGGACTTGCCGCCTTGTCTGGAGCATGCTAGACCCTCAGCATTTAGGACCACTGGGAAGAGGCCCCCACAGTTCATCACCTCCAAGAGAAGCCAGGGCCACCAGCCGCAGTCAGCCATATCTCCAAT